GACATTATAGGCAGTAACACAGCTTGGCCTTCCTGCAAAAGGTAAAATGTGGTAGGGCAAATGTTAAGAGGAACATAGTTCTGTATTTAATTTTAATTAATAATGTAGATTGATAGAAGTTATGGCAACCAGGCAACATGACCTGCACGGACATAACCCACATACTTAACCTATATGTTCCTGCTTAAATGCTGATTATTCCCTTTTTTCCTAAAAAAAATTTACTATTCCAGTATATTTTCTTTTACCTCAGAAATTGATAGATGGTATCCTGCGTACAGTTCATAAGGGAAAATTCTTTCTGCAGCTTAGTCTACTGAATGCTGATAAAAGAGAAAGGAACCTCATGTTAGATACAGGAGCACCTAATGAAGGAACAGAAGATCATAAGTATTCAGGCAGGCAGGCCATGATTTTAAACTTCTTTTCAAAACCAACAATCAAAACCTGTACAGCATATAGTTGAATTTTGTGGCTTCTCAAATAAATAAATATTAAAATATAAAGTAAATATACTACTGATAATGACAAATAAACACAGATTTCATATAGTGTAATACTGTTTATTTTTATTTTGTATAATATAGCTTTAATCTATGGAGTTCATTGCAAAGGTATCATAGAATAGTAGGAGAAGGGGCCATGAAGGTCATCAATTCCAACCCCCTGCTGTTGCAGGACACCACATTACACCATCCCACTCAGATGGCCGCCCAGTTTCTTTTTGAATGTCTCCAGTATGGGGGAGCCCACCATCTCTCTAGGCATCTGGTTCCACTGTTGTATTGCTCTGAAGGCTATGTTGAAGGCTACTAGCTTAAATAGACGGATAGCTATTTAGAAGGATAACTTCATGAGGAATGGCTATGCCAGTTGGCTATTAACCATGATAGCATTACAGTCTCTGAGTCAAGAGGCAATATACCTTTGAGTACCAGATACTGAAAGGGAAACACGGGATAGAGAATACATTTGTGGCCAGTTTGTCAACTTCCAGAGACATCAGAGCAGCCTCTGTCAGGAACAGAATACAGAATTCAAATGGTATGATTCAGCAAGGCAGTGTCCGGGTTTTAACTGGTAGTATGTCACATTTGTAAGTCTGCCAAATGTCAAGTAAGAAAAAGAGATTAATGGGCTGGTTTATCAATTCTAACTTACGAAAGGAACATAGGAAGCTGTAAGCATTGCTGCGGTTAACAATAGTTTTTGTCAATGTGAGTTTTACTGTTATAATAGATATTAGAAAATTATTTTGCACTCCTGTCCAGTAACAAAAAAGCGGTGACTCATGCATACTGCTTGCTGTATGTGACATATTTGTCCTTGCTCAGGGCTTTTATGAGATAGAATTATAATATTTACGTAAGTCCAGGCCCACCAGCTAACTGTTCACATTTAATGTAAGGTATCAACTGAGAAAATGCAGCTGAGATTTGTCTTTTCTCTCTTTTGCTTATTTCAGGTAGATTTCTAATATAGAATAAACACTAAGTGCACAGTACTTAGACAAACAAAAATCGAAGATACATTTCTAGAAACACGGCTTATGAACAGTAAAACAGCATAGTAAACATGGCATCTTACCATTCTTCCCATATTTAGCAAATATGGTGAATTCTCTCATGGGAAATTGATCTTTTTGAACATTAGTCTGTCTTTTATTCATGTTAAGCATTTTCACATGTTTCTCTGCTTACATTAATTCATTTTAATGGAAATATCAAACTTTCCTAAATCTGTAAGAGCAAAACTGGTCTCAAAACTGGATTTCTAGCTACAAAAGCATCCATGTGAGACAACATCCTTGCCCATAATAATTTACAACTGATACATCAGTAACAATTTAATCAATTATCTCAAAAATATTTGTATTTTAGTTGGGAGACTCAGTGTTTTCTATTTGTTCCTGGCCTGATAACATTTGTTTATGCCTGTTAATGCTTATAACTCTAATCCCTTTATGTCTTCCCTTTATTTACACTCTCCTATTTTGCCCCTAAAGCCTCTATCAGCTATTTACCACTCTAAATCTTGGCACAGGTATTTTCCAGAATGTTAAGTATTACAAGATTTCTGTGGCACTGTACTTCGAAAACTTTACTCTTTAAGAGGCCCAGTTATGTGAGACTGGGTGCTAGAATAAAACCATGAAATCCTAATGTGAAGCATCCTTTGATGCATTTGCTAATGGAATCTTAGCCAGGGTGAGCCATCAATAGTATCAAGGGAGCTGTCACAAAATGGCTGCCATGGGATGCCAACTCCTACAGTGTCTGTTGCAATGAGTATAGAGAGTAAAGAAAAAGAACCACCCACTTCACAAAAACTGGTGAGGCTGCAAGATAACTCATCAGTATCCTGAATATCAGGCATAGTGGAATTTGAACCTCAGAACACAAATTTCCTCCTCAGAATCCAGTTTTCTGTCCCTGAGGACCATGTCATACTATTAGAACCAAAATCCACTTAAAATTCTCTCTCCCTCTCTTCCCCCTACCCACCAGGTTATGCACTACTGTTGCCCAATTTGCTTACCATTTCTCATCCTAGTTTTCCAAGCTTTACTAAGTGGGTGGCTTGCCTGTACCCTTTATTTTAAATGAGAGTTGTGACCAGTGGCTGGAAAGCATAGCACCAGTTTTCAGCAGCTCTTCCTCTTGCCTTGCTAGGGCAAGAGGCATTGTGAGGAATGAAAGCAGAAGTCTGAAGCCTGGTACTCAGCTTCTAACTACCCAAAGGTTGTATTTTTAGCCAGTGTGGTATAGTGATTAAGAGCATGGGACTGGGACTCAGGTGATCTGGGTTCTAGTCCCTACTTAGCCATGGAGCCAGCTGGGTGACTTTGGTCCAGTCACAGAGCCCAACCAGGGTGGTTGTTCTTGGGGAAAGATTGAGAGCAGCAGGAGGAGAAAGATGTAAGCTGCTTTGAGTTTTTTCAAAGAAAAATGGTGGGATATAAATCTAATAAAAATATTTTAAAAGCACATTTTTAGAAAGATAGGGACAGCAGACACCAAGGATGTGTCTGAGTGATACCTTGTTAACCCTAATTTTAATTTTAAAAGTTATGCTAGTTCGTCCTGCCTCCTTGGACTGCTGCCCCTCCATTTTTGGCTTGCTGCTACATGCAAAAGGTGTTGGGGAAGCTGCCATCTGAAGTAGTGAAAACTAGTTAGCATGCGGGTCATTGTAATTTCCCTCTAAGGTGTCAGTCCTTCAAAAAAATAAAAAGATTCATGGGGTGCTGTTATTGCTGTTTACACCTTTTTATGTTCATGTACAGTACTGGAAAGGAGTGATGTTACTCTTTGGATTGCATGGCTAAGTTATTGCAGGGTGTGGGCAACCGCAATTTCGAATATGCATACCCCAGGTTTTGTGTTAACCTGGCAAGTTGTGGTGACATGAGGGTTAAAGAGCCCGCTATATACCATGATTTTATGTAATGTGAACATTTGTCAGGTTTGCATGACACAAGAAGTAGGGGTTGCATGTATAAATTCTGTTTCTCTATAACATCAAGCATAACAGGGCCAGGATGCAGCTATGAGGGCCATCAGACTGAGAATGAATCCTCACAGGATGGAGACTATGAATGGGCGGTTCCCAGTTATGGGATTTGAGAGGTTTGCCTGTTCTAGATGGCGTTGCAGTCCCCTGGAAAGAATTGCCTCATAGTTTAGAGGTGCTCCTGAATTCATCTTTGTCATTAGAGGCCCAAATGGTTCTTGTGGCAAGGAGCACCTATTACCAACTCAGGTTGGTATGTCTGCTATGCCCTGTGCTGGACTGGGATAGCCTGGTCACTGTATACCAAGCATTGGTCAACTCAGATTTAGATTAGAGTGATATACTTTCTTCCCTTGCATTTCATCCCAAAGCTATAGCTGGTGCAGAATGCAGTAGCCAGGATACTGAACAGAGTCCCTAGCTGTATACCTATTGAAGCGGTGGTGATGCAACGGTACTGGCCAGCTATTAGGTACCAAACAAAGTACAAGGTTTTACTGTTGGTGTAATTTATGTGGCAGATTGCCTTCCCAAATATCATTAATATCATCAGAGGGGGTCTTGCTGACCTGCAGATTACCTCCTTCCAGCAACCAGGAGGCAGGTCTCTCCATGGTGGGACCCTCCCTTGTGGAATTATCTCCCCCATTAATATTCAGGAGTCTGTAAATGGATCATATTTTATGTGCTAATGAAAGACAGATTTCTTTACCCAGGCTTTCCCTGAGTGAGTGTGCTACCTAGTCTGTTTGTAATTCTATGTTCTATAATTTTAAAGGATCTAGTGTTTTTATTATATTTACACAAGTTGTTCTACCAGTTATGTGCTTCAGTTCTATTTTGATATGTATCATAATGCATCTAATGTTTTAATTTCATTGTAAACTGCATAGTAAATTTATTCAATATGGACATTTATATTTATCTGTATATATTTGATGGTACATTTGTACATTTATCTGTATCTGTTTGATGATAGATCTATTTGATACAGATAAATGTATCAAATACGTAATGAAATAAACCTGGTGCCATGGCTCATTGTGGGTGTCATTCAAACCCAGTCACAATGTAATACATCAAGGGCACAGTCCTGTTTAGGTGCCCATAAGGCCACCAACTTGGAACCTTACGAACATCCATTGCAGACAAAGAACAGCAGCAGCGTTGATCATTGCCTTCACAGTCTTCCACTCTGCATTTTTGCTAGATGACTTTTTCGCCATTCTAGGTGGGACATTGCCAGTGGAGAGGGAAGGAAATTAGAGCAGTTTTAGAATACCATGTATTCCCCAGTCTCCTCCGCTCCTCCCAAAACACCATTTTTCACCCTTCTCCGTGTTTATTTTACTGCCTAAGGACATGCTGATGCTGGGAAGTCTAGCTTGTTTGAACAAAAATGTTTTTTGCATGATCATTAATACAGCAATTCACTTTTTAAAATCCTTATATGTTTAGTATTCCATTTTTTCTCCTCTCTCTTGCAGCAATGGGTCAGGAAGCTGGAAAGCCCACATGGCCTAAACCAGCAGGAGGGTATCAGACAATTACAGGCAGAAGATATGGAAGAAGGCATGCCTATGTCAGTTTTAGACCATCTTTGACGAACCAAGAGAGAAATTCGAGCCAACACGATGGAGAATGTGAAGGATTAGAATTAGATGATGTTCAGAAAGAAAGTTCTTTGTGTGCGTGTCACATAATTGTAAATTGAAACTTTGTCTTCTTAAGAGAAAGCATTTGAAATAATAAGAGTGGGCTGGTCCAACACAGCTGCACAGAGGGAGAGTCAGTTGTACAATTAGCATAATATGGATAAAGTGTTTTTACTTTTGTATATCTCCAAGTTCCTATGAACATAATTAAAATAAGAGATAATCAAAAACTTTGATCAAAAGCTCAGCCCTGACACTAGATTTGTGTTATTATTGGCAGTTTTATATAATGTTTGATCATAGAACTAAGATATTAGTATACTAGGTCTTTCATTATACTTGCAAACAGTGGAATGCATAGAAATGAATATGTTTGGGGATTCCAAAGTACATGACTTTAGACAGGAGTTGTGATATGAAAATGGTCTTTTGTTAATGGTTCTTTGCAGTTTTGTTTCAATTGATATATCCACTAGTCTATATTCAGTCATCTTCCAGCCTGTCACTAGATTTCTTTATTTCAGAGAACAGTAATAGTGTCCATGTTTTAAGAAATGTGAGATAAAATAAATTTTAAAATCATATTATCCCAAAGGACCCCCTCATAGTAAACTATTGGCTTGGATCGGTAATATTGTAGGGACAGCCAAATCGTATTTATTTAGCACATTTTTGTCCTGCCTCTTAACGAAATGCTTGCATGGTGTCTCACACCATGTAAAATTTATATAACAATAAACAAATTAAAACTACAACAATAAAACATTTGGTAGCAGAAACCAAATATAACTGCAATATCAAGTCTTCCCAATGATTCTTTCTAAAAAAAATAATAAAAGGAAGTTTGCTGAAGAGACAGTGGAAGGGAATTCTAGAACCAAACAAAATCAGTCAGTGAAATAACTTGCCTCAGGGATGGTATCATTAAAGAAGCATTGCCTAAGACACACTCATAATCTTGTGTGATTTTTTTTAATATTCCTAATGAAAAATTGTATCTCTCTTCTGAAGATGTTATAGCGAAATAATCTTCCTTTGACTGGAAGGTTAAGTGGCTGGATAAAGCTTCTGATTTAGGCATATAATTTTTAATACTGCATGATGGATCAGAAGTACATAATAATTTTACAGCATAATTAAACACTTTCTGGGTTGTCACTGAAGTACTCAAAATGTGACATATCAACAGCTATATCAGTACAGTGTTTTAAAAGGCAAAGTAATATTAAGGCAGAACTTCAAGATATTCCATTCTAGAAATGAGTGGTTTTTATTTTCCTTTTCATAATATTGATAAACACTTCTTTCTGCATTGCTTGAATAATTAAAGTTCTGTCAGTGCATATTCATCAAAATGGCTGTTAAATATGACATCAAATTACTTGAAAGCATTTTAATGAAGAATAGCCTAGGTGGGGTTGAACATGAACAGATGCAAGTTTTACCATGTGTGCCTTGATAAATAACTTCATATCCAGTCTGATCATTCCAACATATGCTTTCTTTACACTTTTTAAATAAAGGTTCCAGTCCACCAGCCCAAGTATGTTCTACTTTGGCAGACATACCATTGTTAGCAAATGTTGGATCGAAGCACCCCATTAGTCAAGCTGAACCAAGCCAAGCAATCAACACAGATACATCTACATTTTCTCCAGCATGTTACAATTTGGGAGACAGCCAAACTGTGGGTAACAATGTAAATTCTAATAGTTGTGCAGAGTATGCTTCTGGAGAGCACACAAACCTTAATGGCCAAAATGGAATTGCTTTTGTAAACATTGACTCTTACGAGCCAGATAGCAGTGATGGAGAAGAAGAGGCTGACCAACATATTTCATTAGGTAAAGAAGAAGCAGGCATTTTTCAAGAGACACTGGACACTATGCTTTCTGAGTTGGACAAAGGAGTAGAATCCTATAGTGATATGCGACCACACCTGTCCAGTTTTGGCCATAATGCATCAAGTAAAAGTTTTGAAGACCTAAGACCAGTGCCTTTCAAGAGATGCTCTAGCATAGAATCAGATATTGCTCACCAAAATAAGTCACTTCTGAAAACATCTAGTGAAGAAGTATCTCCAATAAAAAATATCCTTTGTACCAGTTGTGACATGGATCAGCAAAAAAATGCACCTGATTCTACAATTAGGACACAGGTAGGGATTTGTAATGCATTAAGTACTAGTACCAAGACTGATCAAGAAAATTCATCTGAACTGGTAGTAAGGCCCAAAGTTAGAAAACAACATTCTGTGAGCCAGTTGGACAGGAACCACTCTATTACAAATGAAGAGGACAAAAAGAGTAGTACTACAAAGTGGAGTGAGAATGTGGATGTCCAACAGCACAATGTGGAATGTATCTGGAAACACAGCAAAGAAAAGAACAACTCTAGTATGTTTTTTGACCCAAGAGATTATGAAGGAGTTCAAAATAAAATAAAAAGTGAACTAAGGAAACAAAATGGAATCCTTCAAGACAAAAGTAAAGCAGATGATAGTGCTTTCTGGGATGAATTTGAAGACTGTGGCAGAAATCTGTCTTCCATCAAAGATGAAGATGAAGACAGGTAAGAATTTCTGCAAAGATTTCACATACTTCAATTTAAGAGCAACAATGAAAATGGATGGGTAATTTTGCAATAACATTGCTACTTGGTAGTAAAGCATGTGTTTGGATGTAGTAATCCACTTGTAAATACCTGTGTGCTACTCAGAATCTGATACTATTATGTTTTCTGCCACATATGTATAGATTGGACTGGGAGCATGAATTAGCTACCTAGTCCAATATGCCTTGACACAAGAAAAAACAAAAAATCCCCCACTTCAATTCCTCTTACAATTGCAACAGGCCCTTATTTTAAAAGTATAATCTTTTCACTGTTCTTACCTCCATGCACGGAAACATAAACTTTGAAAACTTTTATAACCCAGTATGAAAAAGGGGATTGGGCTAGTGTGCCTCCCCTTCCCACATGTCTATTTTGCTTAGTTTTGCAACACTTGAATAGGGCTAGATAGAGCCCTGAAACTGAGATAGAAACTGATTTGTTCAAATACTCTAGAAAAAAAGGGGGTACACTTTAAAAAATTGGAAAAAACTGTAGGGTACTCTGCAGTTTTCTCAGTTTTAATTTTTAATAAGTCAAGTGTCCCATAGCTTCATAACTTTAGAATATTAAAAATATTTACAGAGAATTGACAGCCTGGATCAGATTGAAAAGCAGCTGTGAAATGTACACACACACATACCCCTTCATTAAATCGTAAATGTATTTCTATAATGTTAAATGTATTTTGTGATACAAAGTTAATTGTTCAAACATTTCAGAAAAAGAAGAAATAATAACAGAGGTATCCATAAGGGTTCTCTAATTTGGCAACATTCCAACTGAGCTCTTAATCATTCCCTCAAAAGTGTTGCTGTGGTATAATTAGGAAGAGGACTTTGGATTTTGAATGTAATTAAAATGTTCCAATTTTTACAGTAGTACCATATTTCCAAATAGGACATTAACAGGGGAAAGAAAAAGAATAACTAAAAGAGTGATACAGAATGATATTTGATGAAACGTAAAGCCTTAAACTGCTTAGGAGCTGCTACACAGGAGAAACTTTATTTTCTGCAATACGAGATATAGTTGCCTTTATCAACCTAATGTTTCTGGGAGAAAAAATTATATTCACCAACTCTGAATATTCATCCAGTCTGTTCCATCAAGCTATCAGCTCCATGCACATTCATTCTTCTGGGGGTTTTGTTGTTGTTGTTTTAATTGAAGTACTCTGATGTTACAACCATGTGCTACTTTGCAAGTGGGAATAAAGAACAGATGGAAGTATTTCATCATATTTATCTCTGAACTGTTGGAACAACTGAATAAAATACAATGCCAGAAAACCTATTGGGATGCAACATATAACTTCTTAGCTAAATTATTTTGAACAAAACAGTCACAAACATATGGCTGAAGAAAACTCACCCATATTTGCCCGTTGTCCATTAACTTGGTCAGGAAAAAGCAATCTAACCATTTTAAGAGGGGTTAGGTTTTTTGCATTGGGCTTAAACATGTCTCAAGCCAAATAAGAGTTGCTTTATTAGGAAGGTTGATGTGAAAATCAGGATTTTGTAAGGATTACTATAAACCAGTGCATGAATGGCCATGCAGATGTCTCTCTTGTTCTGCTTTCAACCCATCCCTGAAATTTCAGACATTTTATGGCAACTCCCCTATGATCAAATGTATATCTCAAAAATAAATAGATATTACTTTGACCAGCTATTTGATCTACACATTATTGTCTCTCTATTTTGCTTTGGAATAGAACCTTCCTGTAACCTCTTACAAGCTCTTACTTGTAGCTTGCTTTCTTTTTCTATAAACCCAGATGTAGACCAAGCTGAGTGATTTTGGTTGTGACTACAGACTAACAGTGCAATCTTATGTCTGCTCAGATATATGGCCCAGGTAACTATAGATAGGGTTACAGAATAAGAGATTGCACAAATGTCTCAAATCAAAGCTTGTCACCTGAGGATGATTTTGTATATAGTGCATTGATCTTTCCTTTTTTCTAAAACGGTAAAGAACTATAATTGATCAGAAATCAGAATATTAAACTATTCCACGTTCACACCTGTTAAGGGCAGTTGATGATTATATATGGAAAATAAGCTGAAATAGATTAAAGTACACATGAGCAATTAAATCCAAAAGTATGCTACATATCACAGTAAAATCAGATGACAGCATATGAAGTCAAAGAGTAGACTTGGCATATCTTGATCAGGATTATGTTTTAAAACAGTGGCATCACCACAGTAAGGCTCCTGTCTCTCATATTCACTGATCTAATATTTTGGGATGGCATGGAGAACAGAAGTGCAGATTAATTTTAATGTCCATAGAGCAGTCCTAGACCATTTATTATTAAAGATCCAAACCAACAGTTGAATTGGTCTTAGTGGCTAGGCAGTGAAACTGCTAAAGGATTTGAAGTTGTGGTTTTGAGCTGCCAGTGCCTAAGTTTAGTTGCTATATTCCTGGACCAATTGAGGATTATAAACTGTTCAAAGGCAGTCCTATGTAGAGTACGTTGCAACAGTCTAACTATGAAGTAATTAAGGAAAGAATAATTGAGGCTAAGGTCATCATTAAGAGGCTGTTAAAACATTATTTAGTATTAGTAAAACCGTTCTTCACTGTGGTACATGATGAAAAATTCAATAAAAGAAAAAGTGCAGCTTTCGCATTGCTCTCTAATGGCAAGAAGTGCATGTGATAACTGTTTATCCTTCTCTCCCTTCCTCCCTCTCTCTCTGGGTGATGTGTTTGTTAATGAGAAACTGCTAACATGCAAAGAGAAATAGTAAATTTAATGGACACAATCCATCTAAACTTAAGCACATGCATATCGCATTGATTTAAATGGGAGAGTTAAATTTATGGTTAAATCTCTCCCAATATAGTCAGTGCATCTTAATGTGTCTGCATCATGGCCAATGTGCTAACTTTTTAAAAATCATCGATGTTTTAAATGCAAATGTGTGTCTCAATTTGTAGCTCTGAATGCAGTGATGGTGAATGGTCTGCCTCTCTGCCTTCCTATTTTGCCGTGACTGTGAAAGATCAGTCCTCTAGTGATGAGAGCTGGGAGACTCTTCCTGGAAAGGAGGAACCAGAACCTGAAGTGCAGAGTGACAGTAGTGCTGTGGATGAAGAACATAATGAGTATGGTTTCCAAGCAGGGTATGTTTTTATATTTCTGAGAATGAAGTATACCGTTTAGTAAAAACAAAACATATAGATTTATGTGCACTACAGTGTGATGGTTGCCATTAAACTATACCTATCCTATAGTACAGTGGTACCTCGGCTCACGAACGCCTTGGTTCGCGACCAAATCAGATCGTGAACAAAAATTTCATGAAAATTTTGATGTGGGTCGCGAACTCCGCATTGGGTGGTGACCAAGATCGCAGCCATCTCCCCACCCCCCCCCGAGTGGGAAGATGGCCATGATCGCAGTTGCGTTTGTGCGGGGAAGACACACATGATCATGGGTGCACTCCTGCAGGAAAGATAGGCGCAATCTCGGCCTTCTTCCCCCCCAATCAGCACGATAGTGGCCATCTCCCTACCCCACCCCCGAGTGGGGAGATGCCCGCGATCATGCTGGGGGCGGGGAGGGGGGAAATGACCGAGATCGCGCCCATCTCTCCCTCTCCCAGCTCGCCCCATTCTCACCCACCTTTCCATCCCCCAGTGCACCCTGTTCGCGCCTGTCTGTCTCTCCCCCAGGGTGCCCATGATCGCACCCATCTCCCCCCCCCCCCGCATGCAGGGATGACAGGCGCGTTCAGGGATGATGGGCACGTGCAGGGATGACAGGCGCGATCTTGGCTGTGCTGTGGGGGCGGGAGAGATGGCTGCGCTTGTGCTCGGGGGTGGGGACGGGGAGATGACTGTGATCTTTGTTGTTCTGTCACTTTGCTTCACATTTTTCTGATCTAAAAAAATGATTGCAGAACTGATTAACCTTATTTACATTGAACCTTATGGGGAAATTTGACTTGGCTCATGACCAGTTTGGGTCACGACCACAGTCCTGGAACAGATTAAGTTCGTGAGCCAAGGTACCACTGTATAGGGGAAATTACAATAAATGATCACTGGCTGAAGTGAATATTATAATTATCCAATTTTGAAACAGGTTTCAAGTAGAGCAGGGGTGACAATCTGTAGCCATCCAGATCTAGTTGGATGGCTGTGTTGACTGGAAGTGTTGGGAGTTGGCATCACCAGTTGTCTATCCTTGAAGTATATCCATTATATCTGCTCCTACTCACCTTTTCTCAAGTTGCCAAGGACAGGTTCTATTGGACTCCCATTTCTGCAGAGTCTTCGTTAGCAGTGCTGTATCCCCAGCACTAACAGCACCTTTGGCGCTCAGTAACGTTCAGTTCAGTATTCCATACTATGTAAAATGGCATTTATCTACAGCTTTGGTGCACTAGGATCTCCCATATTATGAAAACCTGTATCATCAGCTTGCTTTCATCCAGTTCATTTCCCAAGTTGGGCTGAGTGAATTCAATCCAGTTGTAGTAAACTTTACTGTTGTGTAATTAGGATAACACTGGCTCCTACATGCTATTATATATGATAGGAAAGCAGCAAAGCCAGTTTAGGTTTAGTTCAAGTCAAGTGAGTAGATGATGGCTTTGACACTGAAATTTTTCATAGGAAACAATTCATTGGTACTGAATGAGAATAGTTTACTTGGTGCCAGTTGCTGTTCATGGAATGGTGCACAGTGCTCTTTCCTTTGCACAATATTTTTTCCATGCACAAAACATTTCTATTAGGTCTATAAACATAGTAATCTTGTTGTGTGCCAGAGTAATTCAAAAGTACGGGACATACTCAAGAAGTAGTCAACTTTATGTGCTACAGTCAAAATGGTAGCCCTTTTTTTGACAGTATTCCACTCTGCATTTTGCTTGTTTTGTCATTTGGCTAATGTCATAAATTACAAGATAAGAAGCAAGCAACTCATTTTTTAAAGTGTATAAGCACTTAGAAATAAGCACATCAGGAGAAACTAGTACTCTCCCTATTGTTACACTGTAACAGTTACAGAGTGAAGCATTCAAATATACATTTTGTCCATCAGCATTTCAAAGTAATATCCCAGTAAAACTATCACATAGTATTCTGAATCTGTAGATTGGCTATAGATTCTGTCCTTAAATTAGCTATGATCAAGCTTTCTAATTCACATACTTGCTTTTGTTGCCCAGCTCCATGGTGAGCTGCCAAAATTAGAGCAGTAAGGCCTGCAAGCAGTAAAGGCAGATATAATGCTAGTAAATGCATTACATTCACGGTGATGCCATACACTTTAAAGTGGCCTCATTTACCTACTAATTTAGCATACTATCACCAGTATCATATCTTAACTCTTTCAACTGTTTTTTGTAGAGAAGAAAGCCTTTGGTGATGAAATCAGACAATATCTCTAATGCCCATAGAAGATGCATTATTGAAAGGCACATTCAAGATATTTGTCCTTTTAAGGTGTGGGATGGGCTGAATAACACTTACACACTTCTTTCCTTAATGTAAACATTTTTGTGCAGTTTTTACCAGGAAAATAAAAAGTTAATTTTAATCCAAAAGTACTAAACTGTAAGAAAGATTTACCATTTAACAATGCTTAATTGTTGTGTTGCAGCTTCACCATAGTACAGTGATCACATCATATTAAGAACCATGTTCTGATGTAATTTTAGTAGGCATGCTTGTTTTGTTACACATTTAGTAGAAAAATAGGAAGAAGAGTCTTGGTCATGAAATAAACTCAAAAGCCTCAAATAATGCTTTTATTGTAACAGTAAAACCTTTTCTAAGGATCTGCCCTTCTTTAGTAGCTTTTAAAAATATGTCTGAATCTGCTATATGGAATAGCAAACTACTTGGTTTATGTTTTCCTTTCTGACCCAGTTTAAGGACCTCTTGTATTCAAGATGTTTACTATCATATAGCATTAGTGTTCTGATAAAATTGTCATTGTTTCTTAACAGCGTCAGTTTGTCACGTTTGTGGAGAAACAGTTCCACAGTCCGTAAGAATTCATTGGTAGGATTCTAATGACCTTCACTGTTAAGTCAGTTGCTTTTCATGTGCTAGAGCAGTAGGGATGGCCTCTTGCTAACGGAAAGGTAGGCATTATGTAATTCATTCTGAAACATTGGAGTTTTTTGTAAATTAAAGAAAAAATTCAGTTAAGACCATTAATTTTGTCCACCTACATAATAAAGCAGTTGAAAAGGAAATTGTTTCACTTGCATTCTAATGACCTCTTTTCATGTCCCATGATTCTACACCATAACAAATCGTGACTCTTACCAGGCAATTTAGATTAAAGATTTATGTGTTCTTGAATGCATGGCACTGCAAGTTTTAAAATAGCAGCTACCTTTGAAATATTCCCTCTTACTGTCTTCACACAAAAAATCTGGAGTTCTTGTAAAAACATTTGCTATTGTTGAGTTTTGAGACAACAGACTATATGAACAGTGAGCAAAAGAAAATCCATTTTAAGCCAACCAGTTAGTCTCATTTAGAGATTTACAAAGTGTTTTATTTAGCTTTTCCAAATAAAGAATAGAACTGTTTGGGCCTCCTATTTTTGGCTAACAACTTGAGCAAATTGACTTTATAGAAAGGCAGACTGGGTCCTATAAACCCTCTATGTTTGGCTTTTCCCCCACAAAATGAATGGGAACAAAAATAGATAATTGACTTAAGAAGAACAGGTAACTGTCCTACCTTGTCCTATTCCACCAAGTCCTGAATACCTGTACAAATAGGAGAGATGCATAATCATTAATGTTATGGTTGCTAATTTTTCTCCCAGAGCTAACACTCAACCTGTATGCTGGATTAGCAGGTGAATTTTCTTAGAAGCATAGAGTTGGAAGGGACCCTGGAGGTGATAAAACCCAGCCCACTGGCTCAGTGCAGGTTCTGCAATGCTGGATTCAGTACAGTATCCATGACAGATTTCTGTCTAGCCTCTGCTTAAATATCTCCAGCAAAGATCAGCTCACTGCTTCATAAGACAGTTTATTTCATACTATCAGAAAGGTATTTTTTATGTTTAGCTAGATCTCTTTCCCTGCAAATTCTACACATTGGTTCTAATCATGTTTGCTGAAGCAACACACAAGTTTGCCCCATCATCTGTGTGATACCCCTTCAGATACTTGAAGTTTGTGATCATGTCTCCCCTTATTCTCTTTGACAAGTGAACACTTTCAGTTGTTCCTAATAGGATGTACAACTCTTGTTGCCTCCTGTGCATACATTTCCATTTATCAACGTCCTTTTTGAAATGTGGCACCAAGAACTGACTACAGTACACCAGATGCAGCTGGATCAGTGCAGAATAGAGTAGAACAATTGCTTCTCATGACACTACACTTCTGTTAATGCAGTTTTCATTAGTTTTTATAGAAGCCATATTACACTACCGGTTCATGTTTAGTTTAGGATCTACTAAGACATATTTTAACATGCAGTGCTGCCAAACAGTGTGTCCTGTACTTGTACTTGTGCCTTGAATCATTTTTTTACCAAAATGCTGGCCTTTACATGCAGAGTCATTAACAAGCACTCTCTGGTTGTAGTTGTTAAACTATTTGTGGTTCCACGTGATATGTATTTTGCCATATCATGGAAAATGTTTTACAGTTGTTGTTAATTTCATTTCTCTATACTGCCTCCCAAGCCAAAGCTCTCTGGGCAGTTTACAGTGATCAAAATATAGTCAAATGCTTCCAGAAATTAAGATATACTATGTCCATGGCATTCCCATGATCTACCAAATTAATTATTTTTTTTAAGAAGCCAAGTTTTTCTGGCATGACTTAATCTTGAGAAAGATTCCTAATGATGGTTCCTAATAATGTTTGTGTGTGTGTTGTTGTTGTTTTTGTTGTTGTTGTTTGCTGCTCCCAAACTGACCACTTAATAACTAGAATAATTCTATTCTAGAATTGTGCTCATGTTCACTGTCAAGCTGACCAGTATGTTAGCTTTCCAGATCAACTTTTTAATACCTTTTGAAAATAGGACATTTACTCATCGCTATCTTCTGGCATCTGTTCTCTAGGAATTTTTAGAGATTGTAGACAACAAATATGTGAAGTAATACACATATTTTTCTCTCTTTTCTTCATTTTGTTTTTGCAGAAGAAGGCCAAGGCAAAATATTAACTGAATCATCCTACCTTCTCTTTGTCACTGCTCCTCCATTTCCACCCATCCCTCCCTCCCCCCTCCCTCCTCTCCCCCCATCACTCTGAATATAGCCAGAGAAGCTTAAGCTTATGTTTTCTTTTTGCATTCCTCATAAGCCTAAGCTCAGTCTAGGCCTTAGTGTTCCTGACATCATCCTTGCATAGTTGGGCTGTTCTGTCATATGCATCCTTCGTTATATGTCCATCTTTCCTCTCCTCCACAAGACCTTGTTAAGTTTCAGCTCATCAGAGAGCTCCCTCTGCAGTTACAAGTACTTGGACTTCTTCATCCAGTTCCATTTTTCCTTCTTAGAAGGAATACTGATTGTGCTTCCAGTATTTCACTTTTGAAATCTCCTGTTCTTCATGGACTCTCTTTTTCATTAAACCATCAGTCTAAAAGAACACAGCACACAAAGAAAAGGGGATAATAAGGGAAAAGGAAAAAATGTTATTTTTTCAAGCAGAGCCTATCCCTCTATGTACTTACTGATTCTATCTTTAATAATACTTTCAAGCAGTTTACCCAGAACGGATGTTAAGCTAATTGGCCTGTAATTTCCTGAATCCTGCTGGATCCCTTTTTAAAAATTGGTGTTAATTGGCCGTTCTCCAATCCTCTAGCACAAGGGCTGATTTTAGGGACATGCTAAACATTTTGATAAGAAGATCTGCAATTTGATGGCTGAGTTCTTTGAGAACTCTAGGATGGATACCATCTGGATCAGTTGATTTGCTGACTTTCAGGTTGTCAGTAAGGTTGAGAATTGATTTTTTTTTCTTTTTTTGTTGTCATTACTATCTGCCCTAATTCCTCAAACTTCCTTCCAGAATACATAAACTCAGGAACAAGTATCTGCTCTTCCTCCTCTGCTGTGAAGACTGATATTTTAAAAAAAACCCATTCAATTTCTCTCCTCATGTACCCTCCTTTAATTCCATTATGATCCAATTGTTCAGAAATTTTAGGGGACTGGAGCAGTTTACCCTGATGCCATATCTTAACAATTCAGTTGTTTATATATTTAATTTTTTAAAGCTTTGTATAAATAGTTATACTTCAGCTGTTAAGTCCTTTCTGCACACTTGTTAAAATATGTTGCCAACTATGGGAAAATGACTTCTAGGTTTTATCTATTAACACCTGGACATAACATGGGCATTCAGAGTAGGTAAAGACCCCTCTCTGTACAATTGCTCACATGGAGTTTTACTTTCATTTTGTATAGCTTTTCTCATTTTTGTATAAAGGGAACCAATCTCTCTGGAGGATGGTGAGATTCCTTGGTTGCAGTATCATGAAGAAATTGAAAGTAGCAGTGATGAAGAAAATGATCAAGTGAGCCATTTTGTGCATCCGGGCTTTTTCATGTTGGATGGAAACAACAACCTCGAGGATGATTCCAGTATGAGTGAAGACTTGGATGTGGAATGGAGGTACATTAGCTTTTATTGGCATTGCTATTGTTATGTGTCAAGTCACCCCCAACTTGTGGCAACCCCATGAATGACCCCCCCACCATGGCCTGTCCATGACAGCCTTGCTCTGCTCTTGTAAACTCAAGGCTGTGGCTTCCTTTATTGGCATTGTTAGCACAATACATATGCCAGTGGTGGTCTGAAGTCTTCCCACTTTGCCATGTTTATGCATTGTGCTTGTGTCACGAACTGATAACATATTGGTTCATGGCTAAAATTAATTTTACATGTTCACTCTTTTCTTGCACAAGGAGAAATTAGTTTTAGGAAGTTTTTTTTGACAAAGCCAGATAAGAAGTGTTTTCCAGTTACTATTTGATGTCCAGGGTAAAAATCCTGTAACACCAGATTGTATTATATTGCATTTTTATCATGCTTTTTTTCTTCTTTTGAGGAATGCAAGGTGGGTTACACATAGCTATATTTTATCCTCACAACTGCAGTCCTGAGAGGTAGACTGGGCTGAGAATCTGTGACTAGCTCAAGGTCCCCCAGTGCTTTTCACGTCCAGCTGGGGACTAGAACCCAGATTGTCCAGGTCCTCAGTCCAACACTCTAATCACCTCATTACACTGTCTCGGTGTTGGCACTCTTGATTTTGAAAATAGCCAGTGCTTTAGTCCCTTTTTTACTTTATGATTGCACAGTACCATCTGATTATGCAGCAGTAGCACAGTGGTGTGGTGTGCGGGGTGTGGTGTCATTTGGTTTGAAAGATTAGAAAAATCTCATTAAAGTTTGTTGTTTGGATACTGGTAAACACTTATTCGTTTCAGGGGTAACACCACTGCTGTAGCAAAAGTCAGTACTTGTTGACTCCATGAATAAAATATTTGATTGTTTAATATATTGGGAATACAATGATTCAGCTTGTTTTGTGTTGCATTTGTTTTCCAAGATGCACAACTAAACCCCATCTAAATTTTGTATCTTCAAATTGCAGCATGTTTCTTTGTATGGAGCCTCTATTATAAATTAAATTTGGAAAAAAAGGATGGGTTCCAATAGAGGATGAGAGAATTAACATTATTCCCCCCACCCCCCACAGGCTACTTGATGAATTTGGTGATGGTCTAGGTGTTGCACAAGCCATTTCTTATGTGGATCCCCAGTTCCTTACATATATGGCCCTGGAAGAACGACTGGCACAGGCCATGGAGGTAATGGAATACTTGAGTAAGATTTTTGTTTGTTTGTTTGTTTTAAAGATAAGCTAATATCAAGGAAAACATGGTGCAGCCACATTTATATGAGATTCAGAATGTAGGTGCTACCATTTCTATTGAAACCATTTTGGTTTCGGTGTTGTTGGAATGATCTTTGTACCAGCATCATTGACTCCCGGATTTCAGCCAGTAAAACAGCTTCAGTCTAGAACATCTCAAAATTGCTTTCATGATCCTGCCTGACAGTTTAGCTCTACTTGTGAAACACTGATTCAGATTCTTCTACCGTCAGAAATACAGTTGGTGGGTATCTGAGACAGGGCCTCTTCAGCTGTGACCTCTGAGGTTCAGAACAGGCTTTTAAGGCAAATCTGCCTTACTTTTAGATGGATGGTGAAAATGGTTTTATTTTAGCAGGTGTCTGCCAAGTACTGTCTTTCAGTTGTTTAATGCTGATACTACTATTTAGTCTTTTTAGTTTGTTTTATCCATTTTAATAATCTTGCACTGGTTTGCTCTGATTGTGAGCAGTCTAGAATACTTTGCAGGAAGGTGGCATATAAATATTGAAAATGAAAAGAATAGGCATATCCCATCTAGAAGTAATCATTGTTGAAGAGGGATAGTCAGCAGCCTTTCCTTCACCCTGGTAGTGCACCAGTGACTAAGCTGTAAGCAAGATGCGGACTTCAGCACTAGTGGGCTAGTGCTGAACCCATGGTTCACCTGCTTGTACAAGTCCCCCTACTTAAGCTTCTTAGATGAGTGACAAGGGGATAAGCTTCTCTAGCCATTGTAAGACAAGAAATGAAACAGAGCTTTTATTAGGTGTCAGTTTTGGAGCAAGTTCTAGCACTATAACAAAGGAATGAGGTTTTGTAACTTTTCCTTCATACAGGACTCCTGTGCTTGAGAGAGCTTCATGACTTCATTACTTCAGGAGTAATGAGTGTGCCTTCACTCTCTGCAGTCCTGTTTTATGTCATGTGTTCTGGAAAGGCACAAGAGTTCTGAGTAGAGAAATGTGGCAGCTCCACTGGTCATTCCTGCTACTGTTGCTGTACATCTGCCTTCTGGTCAGCATGGTACTGGAGATGGGAAACATCTTTCCTTCTGTTGTCTGGTTGTCTGCAGAAAGGCAAGCAAAACCTGGAGATAGTGCTAAATCTTCTTGGAGTAGACGCTAGAACAGATGTTTCCTGCGAAGTAAGTATTCATTAGGGATTGATAGGTGCTTTTCTTGAGAGGGTGCCATTATGTAGGTGCTCTTTCATTTAAAACTGTTCCAAAAATGTCTTCCCATTTTCATAGCTCCATTTTCCAGATGTGAAAGTGGGAGGAACATTTTCTGCAATTTTTGTAGAGGGCAGGAGAAAAACAATGAGCTTCTAGAAGGTCAGAGAGATTAACAGAAACATATCAACAGAGACATTTCACTTCTTTTTAAAACCTTTCTGCCACAGCAGTGGTGCTCCTCCAGACAGGCAGTAGCCATGTGTCCTGCCCAATGCCCCCATGACTAGTGTTGATTTATGTGTGATGTGCTATCACTCCTTCTACATAGTTGGGGGTATATATTGATCTGCGACTGTTTTACACCATGCTCCCTGGTTCTGAATCTTTAAGGAAGGCTAGCGGTGGCAATAGCTAGACCAGAGTGAAATGCTTGGTGATTTTGAGTTTATGTTACACTGGACAATGTTTTTTTTTCTAACACTATATGGCAGGATCAACAAGTCAGTATTCAGCTTTTGGGATCATCGGTCTTGTTAAACCATCCTCCTTAAGTCTGTTAGGTGTGTATAACTGCAGAATCCCTGTTGCAGCTTGATATATGACTCAGAATAGATAATTTCGCTTTTCTCTCTAGTATGAGTTTTTAGAACTGTCCTCCTTGGCAGAATATGATTTTGGTTTGCAGAAACTAAATAGCTTAACTGGTGCTTTTCATTACCATGTCTGCTGTTAATAACGCCAGAATATTTGGCTACTCTTTAGGAAGAAATGGGCAGGGAGAGGCTAAATATCTCTGTGCTAATGCTGGCTTTCCTGCCCAGTTCATTCTTGTCCTGAAACATACAGTCTACTTACAGAACAGTAACCTTTCATATATCTTTTTGAGTATAAAGTTCAAGTAATTGACGGAGAATTCTTCTGAGAAATAATATAACATAGAATTGCTACTATATCACCTTAATGGTTCCCTTAGCTTTTGCTGTGCTTTAGAACATAATTACTTTGTTCAACATATGAAACACCAGTGTTTATTGTACCTCATTGCCTTAAATAGAGTGTGAAACTATTGGCAATATTGCTATGTATAGCTTCTGTGTTTCTGGATATATATAGAAAAGTAACTTTTGCTAAGCTCATTTATTCACATAGCAGAGGACCATATTTGCATATTCTTTTTATTTAAGCCAAGGCTTTAAGCAATGTTTATGTTTGAATCTCATCTGAAATAGGACTGCCAGTAACAGTCTAAGGAACTGATCAGTACCACATTTGCCCAGATCAAACCCATACCTCTCATTGAGCTCTACTTTAAGTCAGGTTAAAACAAAAGATGTTTATATCTGGTGAATATTATTTGTTATTGTTTTGACAAGAGCCACTGCCCTTCTCTGGAACCTGAAGACAGGCGAGGACTTTCTTTCACCTTTTTCTGAGCATTGGAACTGGGGAGAAAAATAAGGGATTTATCCCATAGTTGTACTGGATCTTGAAGGCAGTCAGAATAACAGTGAACCTCAGAATCATGTCATTCATGAAGCCCTTTCTTCCCTGTTGAGCGGAAGAGACAGGGCTGGTGGAAGGGAGATGGCAGTGTGGCTTACTTTTGATCTGTTTCCCATTAAAGCATAAAAGCGTAGATCCTGGCCTCAAATTTGACAATGTAATTGATATCAAGCTCTTGTATATAGATAAATTTACTTCTTGAAACATGTTGTATTTCCAGAGCTTATTTGTGAAATAACTACATTGTATCACATTAGTGAAACATTTTATCACTAATTTCAATCTAAATGTAGAGTTCACAGAGTTGTCATTGAACATTTGAAAGCATGGAGTAATACCAAATAGTACTTTTTGCACAATAGCACTAGTCCATTCTACTCCTTCAGTGACCACTGATGGCTCAAATTCTCCTAAATCGTAATTCATATCCATTCTGCTTAAGCAAAAAAAAATTGTCAACCTCCTTTTATAACAGTTATGAACATTATTTCTTCCATAATGGATTGAAAAATGTCTGGGACATATATAAATAATTCTGTCAAACTCTTGAAACAGTACATTGGTGTAAAACTAATCTGTATTCTCCATGCTTCCTGGATTCCCTATCTGTAATTTGTCACATTCTCTGGATTTCCTACATTCACATTTACATAGTATAGTACTGAGGCAACTTTGTTGACTTTTTGAAACTTTTTACCTGTTGCATTGGCTTCTCTGAATTGCTCTTCAGAATTCAAGTGAATTAGTTATTGCCTAGGTTGTACTCAGGAATGCTGAATACTCTGAGAAATAAAGCATCTTCTTGCTGAATGCTTTTTTCTCTTTCATTAGGAGCATTCACCAGAACTATGCCTGTTCCCTTGCCACCCGGTTGTTTTTTCTTAAGGGAAAACCAAAATGTTTGAGAGTAAACAAGACGATAGATAATTCCGTGGTTGTGTAGCATGCCTATGGATAAATATACACTGCTCTGATAAGTGCATAAGGAGAAAAAAAGATCTTGGCTTCTGATTACAACTTCAGAAAAGATCCAATATGTAATGAAAGCTGGGAAAAGTTACAATTCATGTAGAAAAATGAACTGAGCCTTATTTTGTCAAATGAGACATGCAGAAGTTAATTTATTGGAGTTCAAGAAATTTAAAAGTGTACTTCAGGGAACTGTAATTGTTTCTTCTGCATTTAATTTTTTGAAATATGCCTTCTTTTAAGGGATGGGAGACAGCGTTATCCTTAGAAAAGTTATGAAAATGGTTTCAAAGTTAATTTTCTCCATATCGAAACAAACTATTTCCTTGTGATTTGTGATGTGTTACTATACAAATAATAGGCTACCACTGAATCTTGGCTTCACATAGGTTATTTTCAGTGGTGGGGGAATGGGCAAACTCCCTCCCTGCTTGTCCATGCTTTTCCAGTGGCGGTACTAACTAGAGTGTACGCAGAATTCCCATTTTCATGCATCTGTGATGGGTCTACTGAAATGAAGCTGTTGGCACTAGCTCTCCTGTTTCTCTGCAGTAGTGGAGGTGACTGGAATATCAGGCTCACAAACTTGGACATTTCTAATTCTCCAGCTCAAGGGAACACTGATCAGTTTTAAAGTTGTGGGACATCTTTTTGTACAATGCTTTTTAGACAAGGCAGGGACTGCCTTAGTACTAATTTCGGTAAGCTCTTTCAGAAGCAGTCTTCTGAGTGGAAAGGAAGGTAAAAATGCTTCAAATAAATGATCCAGTGCTCTGGTCAGTGCTCCTGCTAGTCTTCTCACCACAAACACCCCCTTTCCCAATTTCAGTTGCCTAAATTGTGCATTATTAGGTAGTACAAAGTCCAATAAATCAGCAGCATGGCTAATAAACACTGTCAAACAAACAATTGCAGAAAAGAAGTTTTCCTTCAAAAAATGAAGGTCTTGCCCAAATGAGGAAAATGAAAGGGAATCCAAACTTGCCTAAAGAAGATGCAAGTAGACATGAAGAAATGCATAAAAATACTTTAAGGAACATATTGTTCACAACATCAGAGCAAACAACAGGCCTTTAAAAATAGAAGCAGGAAACCAGAGAAGCAGATGGACTACTGCAGGGGTCCTCAAACTTTTTCAGTAGGGAGCTAGTTGAAAGGCGGCGGCGACTGGTGTGAGCTGGTGAGAAGGGGGGTCCTGGGCACACGGGTCAGTGAGGCATCGTCGGGCGTGCGCGAGGTGGCGTCAGGCGCACGCCACCATGGTTTGCTCACTCAGAGATCTCCAA